CTGTTGTACCATTTTGAACAATTACTTCTACTCAATTAAAATGTACTGTTGTATCATTTTGAACAATTACTTCAATTCAGTTAAAACGTACTGTTGTATCATTTTGGACAATTACTTCAATTCAGTTAAAACGTACTGTTGTATCATTTTGAACAATTACTTCTACACAGTTATATGCAGAAATTTCGACTGCTTTTCGTAAAGCAAAGAGCATTGAATAATGATAACATAAACGCAAAAAATTAATTCCAAGGATTTTGAATAAGAAAACACTGGTATTAAAACTGCAACGATAAAATATCACTAATCGGTGGTGTAATTGTTATTCAAACTGCTCCAAGAATTTCCAGTTTGATGACTAGTTGGTTATAAAACTAAATATAACCTATTTACTCGAATTCACCGACATCCGTTTGACGATTTTGTTCATTCTCTTAGAGTTCGATTTACAAAGAAACGATCTGGGAGGTTATGTATATTGGTTTATATCTTGTATTTCTGTTTATACACAACAAACTCTTTGTTGCTAGGCTTCATATATAGTTGGTAACTCAGGTGTCGTATTCAGACAGATGTGTACAGGTTTACATCTGGAGCCTCAGTTGTCGTAGTAACGGTATAATAAAAAAAACCAGCTGCGTAGTTATCATACGGACTTGAAATCGGCATACGTACAATCAACCAGATAATACAAATCAACACGTGCAACTTAAAGTAGGTTTCCGCTACCTCAACAAGTTAGCCAACGTTGTTCCAGCACAACGTTTTCGTGTGTCGCTAACACTTGTGTGTTGGACTAATATGTTGGAAATGTTTTGGCAACATATTTATTGTTGGTTGTGTTTTCGCTGTATAACCAAAAGAAATACATATGTGGCAGTTTTAAGCATGCGTACTCATAGCCATGGCTGCCAGTAGCCATCATGGGTCGCGGGGAAAAGTTGTTATATGACCCACCATCACCACCACCTCGAATAGTTTATCAAATGATGTCGCGTATATATACATAAGTGGGAGAAGGCGTGATTAATGTTCGCCTAAACGTTCCGTACCGATTTGATATGTATTTCGTCCACAATTTTTCTGCTCTAATGAGCCCATTAGTGGGCAAATCCCCGAGGAAATATCCCAGCCTCCCCGCCCCACGTACTTCTTTGCAGTTCATATTATTTCACACTATGGAGTGGCCACGTCAATCAATTATTCAATTAACTGAATAATTTCACCGAAGTCCACTGTTGTATGACATAAGTCCACTGTTGTGTGATATAAGTCCACTGCTGTATGACATAAGTCCACTGCTGTATGACATAAGTCCACTGTTGTGTGATATAAGGCCACTGCTGTATGACATAAGTCCACTGCTGTATGACATAAGTCCACTGCTCTATGATATAAGTCCACTGCTGTATGACATAAGTCCACTGCTGTATGACATAAGTCTGCTGCTGTATGACATAAGTCCACTGCTGTATGACATAAGACCACTGCTGTATGACATAAGTCCACTGCTGTATGACATAAGACCACTGCTGTATGACATAAGTCCACTGCTGTATGACATAAGTTTGCAGATTATAAAAGCACGAATAATAAGAAAGATGGCTACGATGAAACTATTTTAGATAAAATTCTAAGGTCGTTAATTAACACTGAAAGCTACCATACGTTCTTTAATATTTTCACACCCATCACCTTCGTAAGTTTTCTACCCATCCACCACCTTCACTTTTATTCTTCTGTGATCCGCTTAAAATTACACACACAATCTGCAATGCACAGAATAAGTTCACCTGAGAATCCATGAGAGCCTTCGAGGCAGAAGAAGTGTTATCATACGACAAACAACTTGTTTGCAACTTCAACAAGTGTTTCGCTGGCCCCAAGTCGATCCTGTTTGGGATCGACATGTACCTACTTTTAGGATGCGTGTAAGAAAAATATCGGCGTAATGAGCACACATACTGTACATTTACGCTGTTCAGAAGTTTGCATATTTATTTGCAAACACTTAAGTACGTCAGTTATCGTGTTTACTTGTAGACGTTGAGTTTAATGTACACAAACAAAACAAAGTTGCTTGCTAAGCCGCACTTGTTTTACCATTTTCGTTTCCTCGTTCGATAAATTTTTTCACGACCTTAAATTAACATCTAAATGTTCTTCAATGTTTTATATATATATATATTTGCGCAAAGCTACACGAGGGCTATCTGCGCTAGCCGTCCCTAATTTAGCAGTGAAAGACTAGAAGGAAGGCAGGTAGTCATCACCACCCACCGCCAACTCTTGGGCTACTCTTTTACCAACGAATAGTGATATAACGCCCCCACGGCTGAAAGGGCGAGCATATTTGGTAGGATAGAATGAGGATTCGAACCCACGACACTCAGATTACGAGTCGAGCGCCCTGGCCAATTTCTTCAAGAGAAAAGTTAGTATACAACAAGTTAACCTAACGTTTTTCTTCAAGAAACCATTAACTTCGCTTAGGATCTCGTTCTTCCTTCACCTGAATTTGTCAACATTTTAGATTCTACTCTCTCACAAATAATATATTTTATGGCCCACTTTTCCAAAAGAAAACCACTTATCGAACTTTTTCAAACATCTAACAAGTCTTATATTAATCTTTAAATAGCTAGTAGTTGCACTTGTATTACACTGTCTGTGAATATTAATGTTGTTAGTAGTTGCTTGAAAGGTTAGCGTAGCTTACAAAAATTGTATACGTTGTGAACATTACGAAACGTAAAGTGCGACGGTAGTGCCCTCTATGTATGGCCTCATATCCGTCTGTAAACTACTGTTTGTGAAGCCTTAACCTTACCGGAATCATCCATTTCAATATTTATTGAATAATAAAGTAATAACTACAAGTTCCTCTTAAAGATCCTTA